GGCCCGGGCGTACAGCGTGGCGTACTGGCCCATCTGGTTCCCCAGGCGGCCCACGGCGTGGACGGTGAACATGCCCTCCAGACGCGGGTATCTGTGGGGACGGTGGCAGTGTGGGTGGTAGCTTCCAATTCTGTCCCTTTCTCCCGGGTTCAGTCTGCACCAGTCGCTGCTGGAGGTGGAAGAGGGTGGAAGCGATGAAGACGAAGAGGATAAAAGGCGCCATGGGCACCGGCCACGGCTGTGGGGAGGGAAGGCAGGGCGTCGGCTCCGGAAGCCATGAGGCCGGGGCTTCGTGAACAGGGCCACCCGCTGTGTGCACCAACACGGGTGGGTGCGTGAGTGTGGTTTCCTCTGTGCTCGTGTGTAAACCGGGGGTGCACGCATGAGTACGTGAATGCAGATCTATCTCCAGAGTCGGTCTGTACTGGGGATTGAACCTTGGACCTTCACACTGAGCTCCAGCTCCAGCCCCTTTTTTATTTCGAGACGAGGTCTTGCTAGACTGGAATTTTCGATCCTCCTGCCTCAGCCTCCTAGAGTGCTGGGATTACAGGAGTGTGCTACCATGCCTGGCTGGAGTGTGTATTTGTGCAGGTGTGTGTAGATGTTATGTTCATATGTGGTGTGTCTACACAGGAGGATGTGTATGCATTGCGTACGTGTGCATCTATACATGGTGTCTATTTAGGGTAAAATTGTGTGCACAGAAACAGATGTGTACATCGTAGCACATGGATGTGCATCCATCATATATATATATATGCGCGGGTGTATAGTGTATTGGTGGTTGTGAACACAAGGCCATACGTACAGGAGTGTGTGTATATATGAGTACAAATACTCCTTGATTTAGGATGGGCCACATTCTAATAAAGTCAGTATAAATTGAAAAAACCATATTTAGCCAGACATGGTAATGCACATTATTAATCCAAGCTAATGAGGAGGCTGAAGCAGGAAGATTGCGAGTTTGAGCCCAGCCTGGGCCCCTTACAACACCCTGTCTCATGCCTGGTGTGGTTGCACACGCCTGTAATCCTGGCACTCAGGAGGTTGAGGAAGGATTGCTGTGAGCTTGAGGCCAGCCTAGGCTACATAGTGAGTTCAAGGCCAGCCTGAACTGCATAGTGAGACCCGGTCTCAAAATAAAATAGAAAAAGCTGGGCGTGCAGCTCAGTGATAGGCACCTACCCAGCATGCACAGTGCCCTGTGTTCAAACCCTATACCAAAAAAAAAAAAAAAAAAATCATTGAACGCACCCAGCCTACCAAACATCATAGTTTGGCAACACAGTACCCTAGAGTACAGGCTGTTTACCCTGTGGTCATGGGGTGCCCACTGCAAGACAGTCTGATAGCACACAGTATTTCCTGAGGAAAGATTAAAATTCAGAATTTGCAATATGATTTTTACTGAATATGTATATCTTTTAAACCACTGTAAAGTCCAAAAATTCTAAACATTGTTAAGTTGGAAACCTCTGTGTACATTGTTTTTTTTGGGATTTTGTTTTGGTACTGGGAATCAAACTCAGGGACTCGCACTTGCCAGGCAGACTCTGTACTACCGAACTACACCCCCAGCCCTACATTGTTTAAATGTGCATCATGCCAAGTGTGGTGGCTCACACCCATGATCCCAGCACTCTGGGAGGCTGGGGCAGCAGAGGATGGCATGTTCCAGCCCAACCTGGGCAACTTAGTGACTTAGCAAAACCTTCTCAGAATAAATATATACAAAAGGGGCCGATGATGTGGCTACATGTGAAAGTCTTGGGATCAATCCTCAGTATTGAAAAACAAATGTGTGTATCACTAGACTATGAGTGTAGATGGTGTGTCTGCTGTTCACTCAGCACCTAGGTTCTAGACATGTCTATGTGTGGCATGCCTGGCTGTATCCCCTCTGGAGGGAATCTTTCTGGCTGTCGTGGACTCAAGCACTTACCCTGTCTACCTTGTGGTCACAGCTGCTTGAACTACAGAAGGACGCATGGCTCCTGGTGGCCTCCTCATTCACTGGCCATGTCCTGTGACAACTCTGAGTTGGTTCTGAAAGATGAAGGAAACTTCAGTCCTGGCCAAGACATCCCCATGCACTGCCTTCTCTTTGGGGACAAATGTCTGCTCTTTCCAACTCTGCTCCAGGAACAGTCGGTGCCAGGCCTGGGTGGCCGTGGAGAACAGACCACCCCAAAGCACATGGGGCTCCAGCAGTGTCCCTGGAGGCAGAGGGCAGTGAGACTTTCCCATCCCTGTACAGAAAACCCCAATTAGTGGGCTGTAGATCTGTTGGGAGCAACTCTACATAATTTTTGGGAAAATCATTTCAGTTAAATTATGAATAGGCCTAGTTTTCCTGCCTATAGGCCAGGTATGGCATGTTGAGTCATAACTCTATTTTGCCTACAGGCACAGCTAAAACCTCCACGTTCTCTTGATGCTGTGTCTCGCCAGGGCAAGATTACATCAGCTGAAGATATTCTGGCTCCTTGAGAACACTGAGTAATAAGAGAAAGGTTTCACCTGAGGTGGGACAGATTCCTAATCAACATAAAGTCCTCACCGTCCTAGGATCATAGCTGCCCTCTGAGTAATCTCTTACTCCTTATGAACCCAATAAAAAGCAGCAAGCTCAGGGTGTCTTTGGTGCCCAGAGCAGCACTGATAAGCCCCAAAGCTCAGCTTCTTCTCTAAGTCTCCTTTCCTGCCTTTATTCATTAATTCGCCTTGTGCTGTTGTGGCTCACAGGAGACCAGGACTCACTGCAGGGGTTCCGGTAACATCCCCTCTGCCTGTTCCTTATATAGATGAAACAGTCGATGAGTCTCAGCTGTTGGCTGAGATCCCCTGGGAGTAATCAAAGGCCCCAGGAGGGAGGGTGAGGCTCTGCAGATGTGATTGCTCGGCATAAGCAGAGCCACTGTAGGGGATGGAAAAATAGGTTCTGACCCATCCATGTAGCCAGAGGCCAGGGCAGAGCGGCTGTGACTCAGTGGCATTGCATTGGCACTGTTATTGCTGACGGCAGGGGCACTGGACATGACGGGTGGGCACTGTCCTGTGCAGTCTGGGCTGGACAACACCTGGCTGTGGGAAGCCAGCCATGGCCCACTGGCTTTTTGAAAGATAACATTTGTTCCTCTTTAAGGACTGCACGTGTTAAACTTGTTTTTGACCCTGCACGGGAGAAACTCGGACAGCCAAAGATCTGTAGGAGTCAGGTGCTTCCTGTTAAAGATCTGACGTTATCTGTAGGAGTCAGGTGTTGTAACTCCATTTTGTTAAGTTCCTCCACCTATTTGGGAATCATGATTATTAGTTGCAAGTGTTGTTAATTTGTTTTTCTTGAGGCTGCTTTCTCTTTCCCGTGTGAACCCTCGTTCCCGTGGAGCGAGTGTTGCGGTTACTATGGTAATCCTAGCCCATAATAGTTCGGTCTTTTCCTTTAAAAGGCTGATGCCTGCCTGCAATAAACGTCGCCTTGATCAGACTCTCGTCTTGGCGTCCTTCCTCTCTCTGCTCCGTCTCCACCCCGCTGCTCTTTCAGGTTTGAGACACTGCTGGACAGTGCTCTGCGTCGCCGGCTCGCGACACCTGCCCACGCTGCCATAGTCAAGCAGCTCGGGCCCTGAGGGACAGGAATGAGGAAATGTGGGAGGAATCAAGGGCACAAGGGTCCCCTACACCCTGAGCCCCTGCAGAGGACACTGCTGCTGCCACTCCAGTGAACATGAGGTCCCCAACCACTCTTTTACAGCTTTTCCTCAGGCAAGCATGGTCAGATCCCGAGGAGGCTAAGGCCAGAGGATCACAAATTTTAGCCCAGCCAGGGCAATTTAGTGACTTAGCAAGAACTTGTCTCAAAAAAAGCGGGGTGGGGCTGGGCTGGGGATATTGCTCAGTGGGAAGGCCCTGAATTCAATCCCCAGTACTGAAAAAAAATACAGCGTCTCTTTTCAGTATGCTTCAGCAGCAGCATCTTCTGGAGACTCTGCAAAGGCAAGTAAAATAATGTTTCCAGCTAACTTGGCCAAGCCTTGTGTTTCTGAGCCACATGGCCACTAAGAGAACAATGGAGCTAAACCCAGCAAGTTAAACCTATTTGAAACTGAAGCTGCCACATCTGTGCAGATTTGGAGTTTGGTTATTCTGGCTGGTGAGATAGGTTTAGTCAGCCAGGCGTGCTGGTGCACGCCTGCAGTCCTCCCTACTCTGTGAGCCTGAGGCAGGAGGATCGCAAGTTTCAGCCCAGCTTGGGCTGCTTTGGTGACTTAGTGAGACCCTGTCTCAAAATTTTAAAGAGGCTTAGGATGTCGCTCAGTGCAAGGCTCTGGGTTCAACCCCAGAACTGGAAAAGAGAAAATTGGTATAGGATGTAACACTGCCACATCCTTACTTTTGATTTATACATCACTCAAAACTTCAGATCACATTAAAATCCGATGAGGGCCGGGGATTTAGCTCAGTGGTTCCACTGTCTGCCTTGCAAGCGCAAGGACCCTAGTTTGATCCCCGGTACCAAAAAAAAAGAAGAAAAAATCCAATGAATGTTAGCAGAAGACCTTCAGCTGTCATTCATTCGTCTGTGTGTGTGTGTCTCTGTGTGTGTGTGTGTTCTCCCTCCACCTTCTTTTTGTCTCCATTTCCTGGTGCTAAGTAGGTGAAAAAACAATACTGGAACAACACACTTTCATAATCAAATGTTTGAATCTCTGGTCTTCTAAACTGTTCCCTTTAGGGCAAACAGAAAGATGATAAGGCTGGTTTGGTTTGGGTGAAAAGGGCAGAAGGTTCTAGAGCAATGTCTCCCACCTCCTGGGCCTTTCCCTCCCTCCTTGTGCAGGGACAGGCCCCTAACTGACCTACCTGAGGCTGGGGGAACCCACAGACCTACCAGCTGTGAGAAGGGGACAGGTTTAGGTTTGGAGAGAAGCTGTGTGACGTTGGCCAAGAGCTTCACCCTCTCTGTGCTCTGTGTAATCCAGGGCTGCGAGATTAGTAAACTCCCAGCAGGTACCTTATGACCCCACTGTCTCTGTTCTCTGGAACAGGCTTGATACAGCTGTCACTTTTATGGGAGCCTGAGTGTCTGATGGTGTTGTCTTACTGAGGTTTATTTTACTTTATTTTTTGCAGGTACTGGGATTAAACCCAGGGTTTCCCCACTGAGCTACATCCTCGGTTTTTTTAAATGTTTGAGACAAGATCTCACTAAGTTGCCCAGGCTGGGCTTGGATTTGTGATCCTCCTGCCTCAGCCTCCCAGGGTGCTGGGATTATAGACATGTGCCACCAGGCTGGCTCGGGTCACGACTGTTTGGTAGCGAGGAATCCAGGCTGGAAGACTGGCTCAGGGCCCCATGGCTAAGGGAGGAGTTCGGGGAGCTGAGGGGAGATAGGGCTTGGGATGCAGACAGGGAAGGTGCTGAGGTGACCGGAGGAGACGGGAACAGCAGCAGCCTAGTCCCGGCTACACAGGGAATTCTGGGGACAGCCAACGGCTCAGTCCTGCAGTTGGGATCAGAGCTGGGCCTCGCTGGCAATGGGTGGAGCCTGGGTTTCCCGAACTCTGTGAAGTCAGGAAGTTCACCCTGCTACCCTGCTATCCACTCACAGTTCCTACAGCTGCATCCGGCACCGGAGCTGGCCTTCCGGGTGGGGGAAGGGACAGGTCATGTCCCTCCCTCCTTCCATCCGGGTCCCCTGGGGTCTTCCTCTGGGATGCCAGAAAGGGACCCCAACTTTGTTTAGCTGTTTTGAGACAAGGTCTTGCTATGTAGTTCAGCATTGCCTTGAACTCACTGTGATCCTCCTGCCTCAGCCTCCTGGGTGTTGAGGTTACAAACATGAGTCACCACGCCTGACTGTGGACCCCGATTTTGAAAGAGGAAGTGGCCTCCAGTTCCCTTGCAGAAGTGGAGGGACCGACACCTGCAGAGATTTTCTTCTGGAATCTATCTCCTCCGCTTCCTTCTCCCCCAGGCTAGCCTTGTCTGACCCACTTTGGACTTGGCTGGTCACGTCTACAGCTGGCCTGTGCTCCCCACGATCCACCCTTCCGTGCCTCCTGGCCCCCTGGACTGTAGCCCTGAGTCCCGTCCACTGTTCAGCCCCTGCTGGCTGCCCCTCTGCTGACCTCCAGCCTGTGCTTGGCAGATCTGAAACCATAAGCACAGCAGGGCCCAGAGGGAGCTTAACTTGAAGATGCAAATGAGCCACTCTGGAATCCCCACTTTATTCACAGCCATAACAGATCTGTGCTTTGAATTCCCTGCTGGGGGTAGGAGGGAGGGACTGAGCCTCTCCCTGCCAGGCTAGGGAGGAGGGAGGGCGGTGGGGCCTTTGAGGCCAGGGGGCAGTGCCCACGGCCTGGTCCCCAGGGGAGATGGCAACAGGGAAATCTGGTTATCGCTTTGTCCCTGGGGCTCCTGGAAACTGGTGAAAGGGGCGGAGGGAGGCAGGAGTTTAAAGGAGCAGTCTGGTGCACTCTTTTAATCCCAGAGCTGTGAGGGGCTGAGGCAGGAGGGCTGCGAGTTCCAGCCCAGCTCCGGGCAATTTAGCAACATAGTGAGACCCTGTCTCAAAAGGAGAAAAGGAAAAGTGTTAGGGATGCAGCTCCCCAGTCCCGGGGAGGGCGGAGGAGAGAGGTGCAGCGAAGAGTTAAGAGGTGGACACTCAACTCCTGGGGGCCGGAGAAGAGGGTGTGGCCGCGAGGGACAGGAGCCCAGGGACAGCAGGAAACGGCGCGTTCCTCTCCTGGCAACTAGGATCGGGTCAGTGCCAGCTCTGCCCAGGTGTGTGCACCACAGAGAGCTGTGAGCAGGACGCGAACAGAGCCCCCGCTCACCTCTTCCGGCTCTGCGTTCCCTGCGGGTCCTCTCCTCATTTTGGGCACCTGGTGACAGAAAGCCCCGCCCAGGGTGTACGGGCCGAGCAGGGAAGGGGCAGGCCTGGGAGGGAGCTAGCCCGGCCTCTCCTCTCCTGTGCTGCCCAGATGTAGGCCAGGGAGGCCACCAGGGAACGGGGACGAACGTGGCCCGGCCAGCTGGGACTCGGCACCCTGCAGCGCCCTAAGACGGACAGACAGCCGCGTGGGTCCTCGCCTACTGACCTCGCTCGGAGGAGACACGCTTAACCCCATCTTCAGAGTGGGAAACCAAAGCAGAGAAACAGAAACGAATAGTAACTCGTCCAAGGCCACGCAGCCAGCAAGGGAAGCTAGGTCTCTTTTTTTTTTTGAGCCAGGGTCTCCCTGTGTAGTCCAGGCCGGCCTTGACCTCGCTGTGTGTGACAGACTTCCCTGCCCCATACTGGCGGGCGATAAGTGGCCCTGCTTTTGCTTTCCATGATCTGGTGCTGTCGTTTTATATCGGGAGCCAGACGGAAGCTCCTAATGGACGTGGACATGGCAGGTGACGGAGCAGGCGCCTACAGCCCCTCCCGCAAAGGTGGTCACAGAGACCTAAGACCTCTGCGGAGCGGCAGAGCTCTGCTGAGTACGTGCAGCTGAGGTCAGCGTGACCCCAGTTAAAACCCTTTCCCCTGAACTACAGCTTCTCACTGGCCCGATGCGTTGCGTGCTAGTTATTCCTGGCTTCAGTACCGGTTTGCTCCATCTAAGCAGGATAAACCGCACTTAATCCTGCCAGCCCTGC